AAGACTCTACAGCTGCCATATGATAGATGCCACACTGTTTACTAAAATACAAACTTTTAGAGAAGAGAGATTTTGTATCCTATGAATTACTATAATCCCAAGCCCCAATAGCAATACACACACACACACACACACACACACACACAGTATATGAGGCATTGATTTTGCTTTTTTCTGTTGGAAATTGCTCTTGAAGTAAGCATTAAAACCGTTTGCACTTCTCAAATGACTCCCAGAAAGTGGTAACTTTAGGGAATGGTTCTATGTAATACAAAGTCTGAAAGGGTTGTACAGTGAGTAACTATGGGAGTTTTGCATGTGCTCTAACCTTCATCTCAGTCACAGGAGAATACAGTTCATGTTGTCGGTGAAGACCATGCTCCATAGGAGGCTGCTTCTCTGAGTGTGCCCTCTAGCACAAGGTTGGGCACAAAATCACTGCCCAGTTGATACTTGTTGAGTCAGTCAAGACTGACAGAACGTAAATCAAAAGAATTTAAACTGTTCAGCATCAAGCATGTGCTTACTAAATATTTATTAAATTACATTGAATATGATGCTCAAAGGAAGAACCATGCCATACATTCCAAAACTAAGTAGGCATTATATTTGAATTAGCAGCTGTTTGGGATTATCTGTGTGCCTCCCCAGTCAGGATACTAAATGGAGATCTTACTGCATCAGCAAACTCCTCAGTCTGAGAAATGGCTCACTTCCAGTAGGCTGGCATGCTGCCTTCCAACTATGCCATAGTTAATGGAAAAGCTAACGCTTACTGTGGTGCTATAGACAATCTGATACTGCTTACAAATCAGTCCCCTAGCCTCTTTCCATAGCAGTGTATGAGTCTTCACTAATTACCCTGTCCTTCCTTTTTCTCTTTCCTTCTCTGAGTGTCTTATAAACATAAGTACCCAAAGGCAAACATCTCAATGACACTGAAAGGTCTAGAAAATTCAAGGGCAGTGAACAAACAGACAGCTTGGGAGAAAAGACATGTGACTTTATGTTTGCAAACTATGATGAGTTTTTATGGTTTATCTGCACTCTATAGAATATAAGCTCCAGGATTCTATTCAGTTGTTAGCTATAGTTTCCATAAGAACTAAAATGGCTTGACTTTCCCCCAGTAAACATGACATGACACAGTCAAACTCCATGTTAGAAACAGCCTATAAATACACACTTATGCTGCACCCACACACCCACACACACACACACAAACAAAAAGAGAGAGAGAGAGAGAGAGAGAGAGAGAGAGAGAGAGATTGACAAGTGAATTTTAAATAAATAACAAATTATTGAGTACCCCAAACAAAAAGTTCACTTATTAACCATTATGACTGACAGGTTTCCCCATAACAGGAGCCTCTGGCTGAGAGTCATCTTCAAGGTATACAACTTGAAACTGGCCATTTGGAAAGAACGTGGTGAAACTGAGTTACAACAGACACAGTCTGGTGGGAGTTGGGACATGGCAGCTCCAGTCCAGACGGCACCATTTAGGTAAAGGAGACAGTTGCTTAAATAAGGACACAGTGGTGTCAGCTTGTTGATAAAGCAGCACTGAACCAGTTGCTGGTAAATTGAAGCTGTTAAATGTTAATGAACTATCACTGTGTAAGTAACCAGGAGACAGAAAATACTCAAGAAGTGAAAGTCTACTGCAAGGCCAATTTATCTCACAATGGGGAACATTTTTATTACAAACATAAGGAAACTTAACTTAAAATTTAAATTTTTCATCTATTTTATTGATAAAAGTGTCGTTCCTTTATCAACAAGTCAATTTTCTCCGCTCTAAGCGGAATTTTACAAATGCTTTGGTTGAGCCACAAGAAAGGCCTTTTGATATGATCTTTTGTATTGGAATATCTCTTGCTTGAAATTAAATTCACTCCCCAAATAGCAAGTATATCATCCCCTAACTGCTTCCCACTAGTGACAGCATGCTGCAGAGATTAGCAGTGCAGCCTTGATTTGCCAAGTAAAAGAATCTTGTGGCAAGTTCAAACTCAGACTTCACCACTCAGAAAGGGCATGGGGTATGTGTAAATATTCCTGGGAGGCAAAAATGAACTCGAACAGAAGTGAAAACGTTGCCCTATACAGATCAAATTGAAGCCTTACACAGACTTTGCTTTGGGGTGTTATTTCCTGAAGGGCTGTGACACACTCAGCTCACTGACATTGGTGTGACCGTTCTATAGAACAGACAGTACAAACAAGTTCTCTTCAAATGCTCAGTTTATAGCATCTGTGTCTTTAGAGAAGATGAAACCTATGTGTGATATAAATCTCTTCATCAGCTATCATGATTGACAGGTCCATTTGGTTGGGTTTAGAGGGCAGGGAACCGAAGTGGAGGCTGACTCACAGGGCACAGGGCACAGGGCTCAAGTTTGGGATTGTTTTAGATATATAAATGTCCATAAGTTCTTTGTATTGTCACATTCTGGTTTCAGATCCTCATGGGTAAATTTTTCACACTTGCAACTAATACTCTTCTCTGAGCCTCAGTGAGGTCATTTTTAAAATGCAATTCTATTTCCTTGGTAAAGCCTCTTCTGAGACTCTAAATTTAGCGCTGCCAATCAGAGGAACAGGTGGTATGTGATCCTCCCCCATCATGCTTTCCGAAGAGAGCCAATCACAGAGCCAGGCACTGAGGATGTGGGCCTGTCAGCAGATATAGGGAATATAAAGGCCAGCCAGCCCCTGGTTCTGGAGCAGTCGTGCATTCCCACCTCGCCTCGGGTGTAGGGATTGCATAGAAAAGCAAAACCACACAGTCTTGACTGTGTGGTTTTGTTTTGAGGGTTAGGGGCTCACTGATTCATGTCGGAGATGGTTGGAAAAACCAACTCTACATAGGACGTCGTTTCCGAAGCAACCTTGGGCTTAGTCCCACCCTTTTTAGGCACTCTTGAGAAATCAGGTGAGTGAGAATCAGCTTGTTTGACTCCTAGAGGTGTTTCTGGTTGATTTCTAGTTGCCAGAGTGATTGATGAATGCCTGCTGTTAAGGGTTTGCTCTCGCCGACCTACAGTGTGAATCTGCGTTTTTAAACTTGGCTTTGAAATGTAAGTTTTCTTAAAAAATAAAAAAAATAAAAGTAAAACTAAAAAATCAAGTGCCTAAGTCTAACCAGTATAATCAACAATTCAGATTTTTAAAATGCACTTGATATCCTAGAACCAGTGGTCTGATTTGGGGGCAGAAATGTTTGCTTCCTTAGTAAATGTGTCTGTTGGGAATGTACAAGGTTATGTGACTCTGATAAAGCAAGGCCGACCAAGAATAGCTCTGAGAAAACCCATGTGGCATCAGCTACACCCGATGACTTTTTAAGGGAATCAACTGCTTGGGGTATCTGTTGCAGGACAGTGGCAGACACTTGTCTGCTGTCAGTCAAGCTGGAGGGTTTATTTTGGGAGCATGACATTTCAGATGCATACCTTCAGCCCTAGGCCTCTAGAAACCAAGTGCTCGGAGAAACCAAATCTGTCTGCTTAGACAATAAGAATATCAGACCCATTTAGGTCACTTAATCTCAACATTTTATAAAATTTCAGTGAAGCTATAGAATTGTTTTTCAGAGGATTCCAAATCTCATCGTGCTTGTTTATTCAAGCCACAATCCAATTATGTGGTATGAGATAAATGTTAATACTAGAACGGGTAAGAAATCAAAGACTTAATTTCAAAATACACTTTGAATGCCCATCTTCCTGGGATAAGATTACAAATTGTAAATGCCTGTAATTGATAAATACATAATTAGCCATTGTTTATCTAAGGACATAGCTATTTTTAGAAGATTCGCTGGCTTGCAAACAGGAAAAAAATGAGACATAACATGTGTTCATCCTATAGATAATGTGCTGGGGGCAAGAGTTCCTGAGAAACCATTCCTGAGAACTTTTGGATGATGCCTGGATTTTCCTGGGATATGAATTTTGTCTCAAAAAAACTTTATTTAAAGTAAAATAGAACACCGGCACTAAGATTATTGCAACCATAACATTGGAGTGTACAAAAAATTATGAAAAATAATAATGAGGCAATAGACATGTCGTTCAGAAATTGCCTTTCAATGTCAGAGTCTGGTCAAGCTGAATGACTAGATATTTATGCCTAAGAAAATTTCTCACATACTCTCCAAAAGTGAGGGATGAAGTACTTTCTTCCACTCACAAAAGGACTTAACTGCTAATTTTCACTCATTTCTTTGTGGAATATTTCACATAATAAACCACAGGTCTTTTTATTCCAATGAACATTTCCCAGCAGCCTTCCATTATTCAGTCTGCATACTGCTCCATGTTAACTCATGTCAGCACTTTTACTTCAGATCTATAATAATTTTTGGCCTATTAAATATTTTCTCCCAGACGAGATTACCTCAGCAACATTAATTGTGCCGTTGCATACAATGTACAGAAATGCTAGGATATTGAAAGCCTGCTCTGCTGTTGAAAAATAAAAAGCTTATGGATGTGAAAATACTTGCCCACACTTTTTGAATTAGTGAAAGGCTTGCAGAGGACAGATGTTTTCATTTGGGTGATGATTTTAAGTAATGGGACAGAGCCTAAAGCAAAGTTACCTTGTAAAACACTGGCACAGTGGTGAGAACTGCTGGGGGAAAGAACTGATTTTTATGCCATTGCCTCTTACATGCTGTGTTGGCGCAAAGGTTCATTTGTCACATCTTGTCTCTGAAATCCCTGTGTTGTAGTTTGGTTTTCCCTTCCACTCTTTCCCAACCTGATTTTCCATTTT